TAGTGTAACCAGAGAACACTGAGAAGTAAAGCCTTGAGAAAGGGACAACTCAGTGAGAGCTGTAGTCTTGGAAAGCCATAGCTATTACCAGAGATGTATTGAGGAAAAAGGAGACTGTAGGTAGGGAGAGCAGCAGGGAAAATATATCTCAACTTGCCTCTTCTTCCACCTTTCTATCTGCACAAGCCTCCCATTGGCAAAACCCAACCAAAGGTCAACTGATAAGGAGTTGGTAATAGAATCTGAAGAGTTTATTATAAGTTTCCTAAGGTTTCTGTAACAAATTACCACAAACTGGGTTATTAACAAGAACAGAAATGTATAGTCTTACAGTTCTAGAGACTAGAAGTCTGAAATCAAGATCTCTAGGGCCACGTTCCCTCCAAAGTCTCTAGAAGAGATTCTTTCCTTGCCTCTTCCGGCTTCTGGTGGTTCTAGGTACTCTTTGGCTTGTGACTGCATCACTCCAATCTCTACCTATGTCTTTACATGGATGTCTCTTTTCCATTCATCTTCTCCTCTCTATTTTAAGAATATTTACCACTGGCCAACCAGGACAGATCCTTAATTACATCTACAAGTCTGTTTCTATAAATAAGATTATATTCACAGTGCTTGGGTATTAAGATATATAATTTCAGAGAACACCATTCAGCCTACTAAAGGACTCATTCTTCAAGAGGACAAACAAGGCAAAGAAGGACAGATAATAATTTTGGGGGAAAGTGTGAATGGAAAACAACAGACCCACATTCATGAGGGAGAGAATCAAATTGTTTAGGAGAAAATATAATAAAATTAATATTTTATTAGTTAAGAAGCTCATTTTATGCTTGGGGTTTGAGAGGGTCTTCTGAGATTTCCTCACTCTTGCTGGTGAAATACCACCTAACTAAAAGCCTTTACAGGCTCAAGATTTAAAATAAAATAAATTGATATCTCAGGCAGCTGACTGAACTGGTCTTTGTTCATGATGGGAGGGTAGTTTTTGCTATCACTATTTCTAAATGTTTATTGAAGTCTCTGTCTTAGCATCCTACCCACTGCTAAAATCGGCTGAAAGTAGGCAGGTCACAGATTCTCCACTGCCTATGATACTTCACTTTTTTTTTAAATTTTCTTCTTTTCTTCTCTTACTCATATGCATTCAACCAGTTTTTAGAAAGATGTTATTTTTCTGCCCTTTTGTGCTTAAACTAATTGGGTTGTTTAATCTCATGCCATGTTATTTACAGCACATGCTCTCTACCATTAATATCATCCTTGGCAAGCCCATCTTGAACACCTGGAAGGTTTTACAACAACAACAGACCAACCAGAGCTCACAGCTTCTACATGCAGTGGAAAGATTCTCTCAAGCGTTGAAGTCAGGAGATAGCACCCCTTTGTCCATCTCCCAAAAGAATGTACAGATGAGGAGCATGGCAATAAAGTCTGGTCACCCAAAAAGCTACCTACAGAGCTTTGTTTTCTCAGACTCTGACCTCTGGGGCAATGTGGTTATTGATGAGTGCCAGCTGGAAAACTTGCAGCCAGATTCATCTATTGTCACCGTGGCTTTTCCAACTCTCAAAGCCATCCTTGGTGAGGATGTTCAAAAAAAGAGTTTGACAAACAGCTTAGTGATGACAACCACTGTCAGTCACAGTCTAACCATGCCATTCAGGATTTCAATGACTTTCAAGAATAACAACCCTTCAGGTGGGAGACTACAGTGTGTCTTTTGGAACTTCAGCCTCGCCAACCACACAGGGGGGTGGGACAGCAGTGGCTGCTATGTTAAAGATGTCGATGGGGACAGTGTCTCTTGTGTTTGTGACCACCTAACATCATTCTCCATCCTCATGTCCCCTGACTCCCCAGACCCTAGTTCTCTTCTGGAAAAACTACTGGATATTATCTCTTACATTGGGTTGGGCTTTTCCATCTTGAGTTTAGCAGCCTGTCTAGTTGTGGAAACTGTGGTGTGGAAATCAGTGACCAAGAACCGGACTTCCTATATGCGCCACATCTGCATAGTGAATATTGCTGCCTCCCTTCTTGTGGCTGACATCTGGTTCATTGTGATTGCAGCCATCCAAGACTTTCGTTACCCACTCAACAAAACAGCCTGTGTGGCTGCCACCTTCTTCATCCACTTCTTCTATCTCAGCGTCTTCTTCTGGATGCTAACACTGGGCCTCATGCTTTTCTATCGACTGGTTTTTATTCTGCATGATACAAGCAAGTCTATTCAGAAAGCCATTGCCTTTTCTCTTGGCTATGGCTGCCCTCTTGCCATCTCAGTCATCACAGTGGGGGCTACCCAACCACAGGAAGTCTACACAAGGAAGAATGCTTGTTGGCTCAACTGGGAGGACACGAAAGCCCTGCTGGCCTTTGTCATTCCAGCACTGATTATCGTGATGGTGAATATGACCATCACAGTGGTGGTTATCACCAAGATTTTGAGGCCTTCTATTGGAGACAAGCCAAGCAAGCAGGAGAAAAACAGCCTGTTTCAGATCTGCAAGAGCATTGGGGTCCTCACACCACTCTTGGGGCTTACCTGGGGTTTTGGTCTTGCCACTGTATTCCAGAAGAGCAATGCTGTGTTCCACATCATATTTACCCTCCTTAATGCCTTCCAGGTAAGTTCTGTAGTGCAGCGCTCTTAGGAAGTGTTTACTCCAGAGGGACAAATTAATGACAGAAACACAAATAGAAGTAGGAATGGAGAAGGTTTTAGTCCAGAGGAAGTCCTGCTTCTAAAGTCCAGTAATTACAAGAATCAGTGAGATAAAAAGGACACATTCTTCTGCTCCCATAGAATCTCATACTTCTTATCACCTGTTCTATAATTTAGTTGTATATGCCAATCTCTTCTAAATCCCCTGGTAATATAAGTAGGAGGAAAGTCTCTTCCATAAATTGTATTTTGCTATTTATCCAAGATTATCTTGACTCCATCTATTAGCTCCTAAATGAAAATATCGCTTTATACCGAGTAATGTCTCCAACTAATTTCCACAAGCGCTCGGTAAACTCTGTCGTTGTGAGGATAAGGGTTGCGTCTTATTCATCACTATATCCAAAATGCCTAACAAAGACTTTGGCACAAAGTGGGTTTTCAACACCCAGTTGAATGAACTAAAGATTATGTGCTGCATAGTATGTCCTTTAAAAAAATTGTTGAAAAATGAAAGAATGAATGCCCTTTAAAGATCAGGCAATATTTTTGATTATACTAAAATGAAAAGATATCTTTTTTGCTCTCCTGCAACATATAGCTAATTATGTTACAGGCCAATTTGGTAACAGAGTTATAGACAAGCCTTTAAAGTACAAGCAAGGCAGGATTAATTCTGTTTTACCCAATGGAGAGGGGGTAAGAAGAGAAAAAAACGTCCCTGAAGATACAGGCCCCTGTGAGCTGGTGAAGAGGTAGGGACTCTGTAGGTAAAGTTGAAATACTGCTTCCTTGGACCAGCAGTTGGTGTAATGGCTATGTGGTTGGGCTCCCATGTAGTCAACCGCGGTTCGAGTCCTGGACCCAGTGGCTTAAACTCACACTGGGAGCTTGTGCTTGCATGCTGAAGATCCTGAGAGGAGAATGGAGGAGAAGGGACTGTGGTGTGGCCATTCTCCCTGGGGTGATTTCTCATTTTCTGTCTCTCTCTCTGCCTTTCTGGTGAGTGCACGCACCTTTTAGCAAAAACCTCTCCCCCCCCCAAAAAAAAAGAAAGAAAAAAAGAAAGAAAGAAAGAAAGCAATATTGCTTCCTGGGTTCTTGTGCGAAGACTATACATGCCCTATTTTTTGCTACTGAGCTTTTGGCATTAAGCTGTAAGGTTCATATCTAATGACCTCTGTAGTTTGCCTTCATTGAAAAAAACTAATAATTCTATCACACACCCCAGATTCTCATCATGGCCATGTGAGGAGCACTGTAGACACTAAAGGTATAATTAGTAGCATAACCAGTGGGATCTCCAGTTCACAATTGAAAGGAAATAGAAAGTATCCTCTAATATTATTATATTTAGAGTCCGTTGGTATGGAACTATTGCATTGCTTTTAACATTACCATGTACTGGAATCATTCTATGAGCCTCAGTTAGGAAAGAGATTTATACAATTCAACACCAGGTGAATAATACTTCCTATTCTGCTGGACAATAGGATATGTTTAAAATGCACTTTTTAATCCTTTTTCCAGGGGTTATTCATTTTACTTTTTGGATGCCTCTGGGACCAGAAGGTAAGAACAATAAGTTTCATGCTCCTTGAAGGGTCTAATGTGCTCGTGGCATGTTGAAGTTACCATGGCTTCTTTTAAATAATGCAGGTACAAGAAGCTTTGTTGAAAAAGTTTTCATTGTCAAGATGGTCTTCACAGCATTCAAAGGTAAATCTTGTCTCTGCTGAGATTTTTTTCCATTTTATGTTCTTATTTATTCCACTAGTATGATGAAGTACAGAGTACTAAGTTTTTACCTTGAGGTTTGGATCAAGGAGATTAAATACAAGGCAACTGGCATCTTCTAACTCCTCTCCCTCCGTAGCTCGTTCTGCCTATTAAACGTAGCCATGGAGCCATCGTCAAACTGCAACTCCACATCTTTCAATAAACATAAATAATGGGTAATGCAAAGTTAAAGTTAACATCAAACTTTCAATAAACAATTGTCTGGGAACGTTTAAAGCATTAGAGAAAACACTTTAGGGAGTAATAAAAGATAGAATTTTCTATAGTTTATTTTAAAACATGACTATTATTTTTTAATATAGCTGCTTGATATATTTTCTGACATTCGTATGTCAGAAAATTCTTGAAACCTAGAAACAGTAAAATGTGTGTTTGGAGGTTATTTTTCTAATATAGGTAAGATTCCTGGATCTCCATATACTTTAAAGGGGTGAGATTAGAAATGTAGAAAGTGACCACTAGAGGGCAGTAAACCAATCTCTGAGATCAAAATAGTTTCCATCTAATTTGCTTTGTGTGTGTGTTTGTTTTTTTTTTCCTATCTCTCTCTTAGTCAACGTCCCTAGGTTCATCCACACCTGTGTTTTCTATGAGTTCTCCAATATCAAGAAGATTTAACAATTTGTTTGGTAAAACAGGTATGTAGTGACTTGTAAGTGATTTCTGGTCAATTTCTGGACAAATTTGTCCCAAGGCTTCTTTTAGAGAGCCTCAATGACCCTACTCGTCCACACTCTCTTCCCCACTTTATTGCATTTACTTGAAATAGCCTCATTTAGGGAAGAGGTTAAGTATAGGAACTTGCTTACATTTTCACGAATCACCAGAAGTTTGGTACAGAGAGTAACTGCCTTCAATCAGAACAAAAAATAACTGATGAAGTCTAAGATTCAAAGAATCTAGACAAAACTTCGAAGAGCTGTATGTCACACTATTGACCATAAAAATGAAAACTTTAAGTTTCTGGCCTTGTCAAACACAGAGGTCTTTTCTGTCTATGTTAAATAGAAATAGATAGGCCAAGTTTCTGGGTTATGGCATAACAGAGCATGTATTAGAAAAATGCTAGTACAGAATCCCAATCTGTGGGTTGGTTCCCCTCACATACTTTTTTTTTTTTCTTTTTATGGAGCAGGGTTTTTTTTACACAATAACATATATGAAACTGTACCTATATATTGAAGAAATCACCCAAGTTAGCTATTCCATTAGAAACATTCATAGTTAAAATTCCCATCTTGGAGATTTGATGCACATCGTATTAATAAATTTGGGCAATGGATCTCAACTCTTCCATCATGTTGAAAACCCTACCCCATGCCACCATTCCCTCAGGAAAGTTAGTGCCAGAATTCCTTCCAGCTTTTTGAAACTGAGCAGAGCTCACAAATGTGCAGTTCAGAAATGTACTAATATTCCAGACTAAAGCTTTTCGTATGGAAGCAAATTTTGAGAATGCTGATAACTATTATAACTCCAGAATACTTAGTGTTTTCTGCCTCAACTAGATGAAGTCATGAAACAAGCAGACCTTTATTTTTTGTTTTAGAAATCACTGAGTCAACTGCTATGAAATGATCGGCTCTTCAGGCTGTATTAGAATTATGGCATTTTGCCAGCACTATCACTAAGACAGGTTTACCATCTGCATTAAAATGAAAATAATGAAAAATCTTTTAAGTAATTTATATAATCAGAGGGAATCAGCAGTTAGCGTAATGGCTATGTCGCTGGACTCCCATGTAGTCAACCACGGTTCGAATCCTGGACCCGGTGGCTTAAAACTCACGCCGGGTGCATGTGCGTGTGTGCCCAAGATCCCAAGAGGAGAATGGAGGAGAAGGGATTGCGGCGTGACCATTCCCCCCTGGGGGGTGATTTCTCGCTTTCTGTCTCTAATGTCTCTCTCTGTCTGGCGAGCACACGTGCCCAATAGTGAAAATCTCTCCAAAAAAAAAAAATTATATAATCAGAATTATGCACTATGTAAGGCCACTAAAATGTGTTCCTTGTTTCTGAATCAGTGAGATGAACATTGGGGTACAAGCTCCATTCCCAGTGAATCCTGGTCATTGAACTGGATAGCCTTGCAAAAGTCATTAATGTAGCTCCACTTTGGCCTACTTGGGGGTTCCACAATTACTGTAACTTTGGTTTATGTTGTCAGCAGCCCCCAAGGTCCCCCCAGGCAATGACGGAAACCTTGTTAGCAGTGGCAGTTCATCAATCTGATGGTAGGGTGGGCACTTTGACCCTTCTCTTGTCTGATACCCACTCCCTACTCTCTTCCATGCACAGCCCTGCCACTCTGCCTGCACCAGCCTTTGCGGCTGCTCCAAGGCTGCCCTTCCTGCTGCACCCATCCTCAGTAATTTTGTTAGCACCCCTGACTTCTTCTTCTTCTTCTTTTCTGGTCCTGCCTTTCCTTCCTGTGTAAGTTTTATCTTTCCTTTCCTCCCTTGACAAACCTTTGCCTTTAGCTCAGCTCCCAGGTCCATCCCAGATCTTCCCGAGTTACCACAACCCAAGGGGACCATGGAGGTTCCCTCAGGCAGATGTCCCCAGGGCCATGCATGAAGTGGCATGTGGAAAGGCTGCCCCCGTTGAGATCTTTCTGTCCTCTGTAGACAACTGGCTGCTGGGATGATGGGAAGTAGTTAGTGCTTGTTGCTGCCATGCATGCTCGAGAACGACACTTCTGTTCTCTGGCACCTCTGGGTCTTGGGAGGAGGGCAGGCATGGTTGATTTCCAGGCATGGCTGCGCTTACCTGGTTCCTGAACTAGAACTACCCTTGGTCTGTCTGATGCTTGCACCACAAAGTCCATCAAGGCTTACCTTCGAGGCTGAGCTGCTGCTCTGTTTTTCAGGAACATATAATGTTTCCACCCCAGAAACAACCAGCTCATCTGTGGAAAACTCATCCAGTGCTTATTCATTGCTCAACTAAGAATGGGAAAATCCAACCCACGTGACCTCTTGGGAACAGTGGATATGCTCTGAAAAAGAGATCCTTTCAAAGCTATGGGTAAAAATGTTGTCTTGGTTGGATTTTTGGAGCAGATGTTGAAAAGACTTTTGCATTAGAGAAGAGGCTTTCCTTTGTAAAGACAGAGCAAAAGTAATCATTATGTTTATCTTTGCTCCTAACTCCCATCCCTTGTGTGAAATCTAATGTGTATAGTATTTAAGTAAAACTCAAGTCCCCCAAAGCCCAACTTTCTGTCTATATTGTAAAATAGAATTTTAAAGGAACACTTTCACTTTTCCTACATTGGACACAAAGATAAGCTTTGATTAGAAGAGCAAGTAAAAGACCTAGGAAGTACTTTGTAAATTCTAGGAGGGAAAGGGAGGAGGGAGGGGGTAGAGGAAGGAAGGAAAGAAGGAGAGAAAGAAGAAGAATTAATAAAGAGAAACATTAAGGACCACATTTTAAGTTTTCCATGTTAATGATATAATCAGTCAGATATTGCAAGCTTGAGCATTAAAACTGATTCAAAAAATGGAAACTGAAAGTAAGCCATGGGGAATGAGTTCAGCATCTTCCTGATATTTTCTTAGTTAAGAAAGAAAAAAGAGACAGTGAAAAATATAGGGAAGAAATTACGTTATCAGGATGCTTTCAAATGGATAATAATATTTGCAAGAATATTGCGAAAACAAACATGGTTTTCCTGACGCTAAACACATGCACATAAATCCCTGAATGTCAAGGTTTGAACTCAGTGGTGTAAGCATGCAGAAGAAATATGATAGCAATTCTTTATCAGATACAAGCAGCTCCAACTGCTGATTCATGTTTTATACTTTATTAGAAAAGTCTTACATTTTAATTTGTTCCACATTTTGAAAGCAAAAATAAAATAAAATAAAATAAAGTTGTTTATACCCATTAATTGCCAAATTTGGTGTATTGCACTGAATGGAGCCCCTAGCTATCTTATAAGTAACAGTTTTAACCAGGTACTTCTCTGTGCATTTTAGAGTAGATTTCATAATCTTATAGCATTGTATATTACTATTGTTGTTACTGTGGATATAATGCTACTTGGTGTGTTGTGTAGCTATTATCTATTGTCTACTATCTCTTTTAGTCCTTAAGTGTCCTGACCAATATACGTTAAGAGTTCTGTACAGTCTAATTTGTGTTTATTACAACCACTTGGAAAACTTCTGAAATGATATCTCACAGCTGGCTCCTCTGTGCTTTCAATGACCAATGACTCTTTACCTTGATGAGCAAATGGCCAAAGCTTTCCCAACAATTTAATTGTGAATTATGTTTTGTTTATGTGTGTGCATTCCATAAGGAAAAACAAATATTTATTAAAATTGTGTCCACTCTAGAGTTAACCAGGTGCTGTAGATAGGACAGCCATACATTCCAAATGTATGTTTGATCCCAGAGGGAGAATGAGACAGAATAAAAAATGTGGATGTACTCAAGACATGTGAGCCATGTGTTCTTCATGGGAACGTAGAACATACACAGGTCCAACTGTTAGAAAGACAGGACAAAAGAAATTGAGATTCAATAGCCATGTGTTTATTGAGGCTCAAAAAGTTTTCTTTTAATGTTTTAACTCCTTAAATTGTTTCCTTTTGGTTTTAATTTTAAATTCTACATCTACATCTTTTCATGGAGAGAATGGAGAGGTGAGACAGAAGTCCCATTCACAAACTGCATGGATTATCTACTCACTTGTTTGCTTGGGAACTGTCATATGCCTATTCCAACTGAATGGTTTACTATTTAAAGTCCCTAAAGAAAATAAGAATTAGGTTATAAATAGAGGCCAAGTTCCATCTGTAGAGTAATCAACGTTGAACACAGATCAGTACTGAGGAAATGGAGACGGAGGTTATGTTGGGAATCAGTTGAATTAGAATTAGATGGTAACACTAGAAGAAAAGCTTTAGCTGGTTAGATAAGTTATTGGAGTTACAGCAAGAAGAATGGAGCTGGTGCGATAGCTCAATGTTAGCAGGGCAATCCCGACATGATCAGCTAAGGAAAGGGAAGCACCCATAAGCAGACCATTGTCATATTCAAACATGTAATGGATGGGACCAGCAGAAGGTGTAATGGTTACATCACTGGACTCCCATGTAGAGGACTATGGTTCGAGTCCTGGATGCAACACTGGGCTTGTGTGCATGCATGCCCAAAATCCCAAGAGGAGAATGGAGGAGAAGGGATTATGGCATGACCATCCCCCCTGGGGAGTTATTTCTCACTTCCTGTCTCTCTGTTTCTCTCTGTGCAGAAAGCACACACAGCCTATAGCAAAAATCTCTTTCAAAAACAAAATTTAAAAATTCCAGTGAACAAGAAATGCTCAACTTTTACCTGATTCAGTAGGGGTCTTCTGGGAATCATTGCTGTTGACTTTGTGAAGGGCACCTCCATAATAACAGGAACCATAGACTGTAGATCTGGCACTCTGCCCACACTCATTAGCAGAGGCACGTCCCCTTATCAACACACACACACACACACACACACACACTCCCTTAAGTATGTGTGCACTGCTATCTTTCAAGCCACAGCATGGCACCAAATGCCAGGAAAGTTATGAAAATAAAAATTTGGGAAATACTTGCTGGTTTTATGTCTTCTGCAAACACATAGATCAACCACCATCTTTCCCAAAAAATATCTGAAAATAAGCAGTAGAACTCCAAATTGTAGGCCAGGTCATGAATTAGCACATGATATGGAAGTTGGCCCCGACATCAGCAGTTCTCAATCAGAAACTACCACAGGCTAGTCACAGCAGTTTTCTGAGGAAAGGAGGCGCTCTGACTCCAACATCAGTGCAGAACATGAGGCGCACTTCGCTTGTAGAGGGCCCCGTGCTTCCCCTCACATCTCTCAGTGTGTTAGGATGGTTCGATAGAGCCAAAACTTCCTTACATTAAGAGACTTTTCATAAGTCAGCCTTTTGCTAAGCAATTTGTGCTAATGCCTCAGAGGTTGTGAATTTTGAGCACTCACAAATGAGCAATTAATAGAAACTACAGGACTATTCTCTGGGAATATTACAAGTCTAGTGCAACACATCATTTCTTAAATGAGTTGCATATTTGTCATCTGCTTCTCCATTTCTTATTGCTCATATAGGAAAAGAGGTAAATAAATCTCCTGGGGTTTTCAGGACATGGGTTGTTAAGACCAGGCATCAAGAAACATTGGGGGAAGTCATAGCCTTTTGTGGTTTGTATAGAGAACTTCAGAGAGGTTTGTGTTAGGATTTTCTTTCAGGGGGAAAAAGTTTCAAGGAAATGAGAAAAGATTATAGCAACCAGTAAATGTATTAATAGAATGGGAGTATGGAGGAGTTATTCTGAGGTAAGTGGAGCAGTGAGTTGCAATCCTTTGAGAACACAAAAGGAAACTGTGGTCCTAGAAAAGCTACATAGGTGGGATGTATTTTATTTGTGGCATGTGATGGTGAGGTCAAATGGAGCCTCTGTACCCAAAGAGAGAGCTGATGTCCTAGGCCAGCAAGAATCTGATTCCTGAGATGCAAAATACAGGGGATCTATTTTATGTATTTTATAAAAAGCAATGGAAATAAGGTCTCATCAACTCAAAGAAGATATTAGCTTTTAAATCAGATGCTACATGTTTTCTAAAATTATGACTCGGGATTTTAAACTATGTCTTAGTCATAGGCCAGCATACAGCTATGTTTTCTTTCCATGTTATAATAATAAAATATTTGATATGATCTCATGAGCTTTCTTTGTATGAATTATCTGCTCCTTTGGACTCTGCTGCTTTTGCTGCTGTTACAGGCTTCCTCACAGCAACCAGATTTAACTCCATTCTCCAAACAGTGAAAGATCCTTTCCATTTTCCATGTGTGAGAGAAGGTGCCAGAAGCTGGCAGCTGAACTCAATGGGATGGCAAGGTTGATGTCTCCCCTCACACAATCCAGATTGCCAAGTAGAGTGTGATGATCCAGCACCTTACAGAGGGTTTAAACAGAGGTCCTTGAAGTAAAGTTTTTAGAACTCAATTGTCTGGGAAACAATTAAACAGATGCCTGTTCCAACATTTGTGTGTAGCCTGGTGGAAACTCATTGAGAGCTAAAGATAGAGGCCTCATGTCTATCTAGATGTGTATTCTCTAGTACATTCTAGGGAGGAAACAAGTTTCACAAGTGTTTCTACTCTCAGTGAATATGGAGTAGACAGAAGAAGAAAACAGTGATGACAGTAAAGATGGTACCATTGCTGAATCCTGCTCTGTGCCAAGCACCTGTTATTTATTTCCAAATACCATTTTCATGTGTTGGAGGTGGGTGTGGGGGCCTTGGCGCGAATGTCCAATGAGTCAGACAGTCATTGTGTCTACTTTCACATCATTTTATAGACACTCATTCTAGCCCTGGTACCTAGAAACCCTGAGATGGAAGAGTTGGAAGGTCACCAGGTCCATGACAGGTCCCTTTGCACAAATGGGACATGCATGGGATGTATGTGTGCCTGTCTACATCCGTGGGTTTTTATTTTTTTAATAAAGAGCCAAGGGAAATATGCTGGTGATTATTTAAAACTAAGGCATAACAATCGCAGGAGCCCAGGGGAGGGGGGTGGCGGGGAGGGGACTTCTCAGTGTGAAAGGCAACAGGAACTGACCCGGCAATTCTTGGGAAGACTGCTGTTACAGCCCACTTCCGATGACATTAAACAAAACACAGACATGGCTTTGGGCCCTGCCTTTTTCGGAACCAGTTTTGATTGATCCCATCCTTTGTCCTCCATCTGCCAAACTGCCCCCTGCCTCCAGTAGTAGTGAAGAAGAGGTGTTTGATTTTGATTAACTGAGGAAAATTGTGTATCCATATAGTGTTTTTTCTGGAACCATGAGTGTTTTCCCATGCCCCAGGAGCTCTCTCACAGCTGTCCTAGTCAAAGTAATGCAGACAAGCATCTCCAGCTGGAGATGACTGACAGCTAGGCAGGCACAACAACACGCCTGCTTCTCTGAGGCTTGATCGCCACCTGGTGGGTGTTGGTGGAGGCATCCTGGGTAGAACACCAGGGAGGCCGTGTTAGGTGGACAAAGTACAAGGAGGCAAGGACAATGGGTCATATAAACAGGATGAAAGTCAAGGCCTATTGGATGATAGAAACCAGGAATGAAAGTATCACTCACTTCCCATCTCCTAAACACTTTTATTTTTTTAAAGTTCATTCTTTTATTTCATGTGCAAGAGAGACAGAGAGAAAAAAGAGAGACAGAGACGTAGATACAGCATCCTTGATAGAGTCTTAACTGCATGATCCATACTGTAGCTGCAGCCAGCTCCAGATCATGGGCATGAACAGGCCTGGCATACTCAGAGGTTTAACATGAACTGGTGAACCTCTCCATGGGGGATTGCCTCACAGAGTGTTGTGTTTTACTGCTCTACCATGATCTGGTCCCCTCCTAACACTTTCATACTATGATTCTTGCAGAGGAAAAGGAGGTCAGAAAGCAAGGTGGCCGTGTGGAGAGAGGGAACATTTCAGACACATATTGGGTTGTTGGAAAAGTGGCATATTTTCTTCTATGCACCATGACCTTTCCAACGACCTAGTAGTTTCAGTGGGCACAGTGAGTTTGCAGGCAGGCAAACATCTCTGAGACGTGCAGGCTGAGATAGCTCCCTCCTTCTTTTCTTTCTTCTCTCACTGACTGAATCTTAGTCATGGAGTGAACAGCAAAGAAAAAAGCAACCCCATCAATGACCTGGTCCATTCATTCCAGACAGGCAGCTAGAAGGTAGTTTGAGGAAGCAAAATGTGTGCTTTCCATGTTTCACAGAACCTTAACAGTTTTTCCATTAATGTAGCTGCAAAAGAGATGATCTTTAATTGTCCCATTCCCTTTTCTAATTCATCCATTGGAAACTACAGCTGGCTGAGTTTCATTTTCAATCCATGTTGACCATGCAGCTGTCCCATGGCTGTCTGACAGCCCCGCCAGCTGCTAAGGCCAAATGGTTATGTTTCTAGTCTAATCTCTGGGCACATCTTGCCAAAGT